GAATTGAAATACCTACAAGCCAGTAACACTTTAGATTCTTTCAAACAAAGCAAATAAGAAAAGGTGAACTCTCAAGTAATTAGCATTATTGGATTCCATATTCAAGCTTAGTGGTTCTAAGTGATACATGGTCAAAAGTCATGCATGAAAATTCGTATATAGATAAAGAAATATGAACATAAAAATTTCCTAAAATTGAGTTATCTGTCGACTAGGAAAAGTACTAAAAATTCAATCTAGAACCATGGGTAAGGCATTGACATCCAAATACGTCATCTAGAAACTAATGGTTTTCTGCAAATAATCCAAATTGTGCGTTGAAATCTGCTCTTATCTCTGGGAAAATAATTTGAGATGCATAAAGTCAGCCTAAGAAACAGAGACTAGAAGAAAGTATTCATAGGAGAGACTATTGCTAAAACTGTCCATGATAGCAAGTAAACAGTTATTTATATACTTTATACCCAGTAAGCTGTCAAATATATGGTCAGACTGAGATGCATAAACATAACCAAGCAGTTGATTATATGCTGATACCTCCAAACAGGCACGGATTTAAGGGGGGGCTGGTGGGGGCTTAAGCCCCCCCCAAGCCGCCGGAAAATCCCCTATATATAGCCATATAGGGGATTCCGGCGGCCAGCCCAGCCCAGCCCAGTCCCCCCACGGTGATCCAGATCTACCATCCTCCATGGCTCCATGCCTCCATGAATGCTGCAGAGGAAGTGAAGAAGTGCTGGGCCTGGAAAGCCGCTGCCAGCCTGCCGTGCTGACTGCTGAGTCTGCTGACTGCTGAGGTCCGAGGAAGAAGATGACCCAATTTATGTTGAATTTTTTTTTAGCCCTCTAAATACAAAACGACGTCGTTTCACTTTTAGTGGAACGACGTCGTTTTGTATAATGAGGGGAAAAAAAAATACATCAGATGAAGCCCTAAAGCTTCATCTGATGCAAAAGCACGCCGCCAATGCCAAAGGCCAAAGGGCAAACACCGAAGCCACTCACGAAGACTCCAAGTCTCCAACTCCAAGAAGAAGACGCCACTCACGCCAGGCTCCAAGAACTCCAAGAAGCTTCAGTTGAGATTCTACCATCCTGCTTCAAGCCTTCAATTCAAGGCTCCAAGACTCCAACTCTCCACCATTCCATTCACATAAATCTTTTAGGTTAGTTTTTTGGTTTAAATTACAATATTCATCTTTATATTTTTGTTAATTATATGTTTAAATTATTTTTGAATTTTGAGTATCTTGATATTAATTTGATTAAGATTAATTTTTATTTAGTTTATGTTAATGTAATTTAAGAATTTGAAAGATTACATTAAAAAATTTAATGATATTAAATTTAAATTAGAAATTAGTTTAGAAATTGTATAGATTTTAGGTTGTATTTAGTTTTTAAAATTTTGTTAGTTTTATATTTGAAATTTTAAGAATTAATTATGTGAATTAGAAATTTTGAATGTAAATATAAATTCAAAATTTTATGAGATTGAATTAGAAATTATATGGGTATTTAGTTGTACCTTATTTTAACTTTTTGATAATTTTATATAATGAATTTTATAAATTGAGAAATATAAGTAATATGAATTTATTATTAAATTAAAGAATTATTTATATGAATTTTAAATTAATTGATTATTGAATTGCATAATTTTATTGAATTTAACCACAATTATTTAATTGTGACAGAAAATGGAGAGATTCTTTAAACCTAAACGAGTCCGTAGTGGTGAATCTTCAAATGAGCCTAATATTAGTGAACCAGTTCAAAATCAATCTTGTGTGGAATTGAATTTAAATGATATTGTTAGTGATCCGGGATTACGAAAATCAGTTGAGAAATTTGATATTTCTCTTCGAGACCATGTCCGAAGAGAGTATTTGACTAGGGGACCTTGCCAACCGATTGGCCATATGTATCCAAAAACATCATTTGGTAAACAACATAGAAGTTTCCAAGATAGTTGGTATCAAAAGTTTGTATGGTTAGAGTATAGCATATCGAAAGATGCGGCGTTTTGCTTTTGGTGCTTTCTTTTCAAAACACAAAATAAGGGAGGTCGATATGCAGAGGATGCCTTTACAAAAACGGGATTCAATAATTGGAAAAAGGCAATGGAAAGATTTAATGAACATATTGGAGCTGTGAATAGTTGCCATAATGATGCTAGAATACAGTTTGAAAGTTTTCAAGATCAAAGGCATAGTGTGTCAAATGTGCTACGATCTTGTGGGCGCGAAATAGATATTGCATATCGCACCCGTTTAACTGCTGCTCTGGATGTGACCCGCTTTCTTTTGAAGCAAGGATTGGCTTTTCGTGGAAATGATGAGTCAACTAGTTCTTCAAATAGAGGCAATTTTCTTGAATTGTTTGAGTGGTATAGCCAGCGAAATACTGAGATTTTTGAGGTTGTAAATCAAAATGCTCCTGCAAATAATCAACTAACTTCTCCAATGATTCAAAAAGAGCTGGCACATGCTTGTGCCTCAGAGATCACAAGTGTTATAATCAATGATATTGGAGACAATTATTTTTCCCTAATAGTTGATGAGTCTCGAGACAGTTCAGTGAAAGAGCAAATGGGAGTTATTTTGAGATATGTGAACAAAGAAGGGCGTGTGATTGAACGTTTCCTTGCAATTGTACATGTGTCTGACACCACATCTCTTTGTTTGAAAGATGCAATTGATTCTTTATTCGCGCAACACGGATTATCATTATCCAAATTGAGAGGTCAAGGATATGATGGAGCTTCAAATATGCGAGGTGAGTTCAATGGTTTGAAGGCCCTTATATTACAAGAAAATCCCTATGCGATGTATATTCACTGTTTTGCTCACCAACTCCAGTTAGTTATTGTTGCTGTTGCTAAGGGAAATATCATTGTCAGTGAATTCTTTGTCTATGTCTCTATGATTGTCAATTTAACTGGAGTATCATGTAAAAGGAGAGATCAATTAAGACAAATAGAACATGATAAGATTGTTACACTTTTAGACAGTGGAGATATTATTAGTGGAAAAGGCAAAAATCAAGAAACTAGTTTAGCAAGACCAGGGGATACTCGTTGGGGATCACACTATCTAACATTACTTCGTCTATCCTCTATGTGGGCTTCGGTGATTGGAATATTGGGAAATATACAAGATGATGCCTCCACTTCTGACAATAGAGGTATGGCCAGGGGTTTGATTGATAGAATGAATGATTATGAGTTTGTTTTTGCATTGCACCTGATGAAGTATTTATTGGGAATCACAAATGACTTGTCACTTGTTTTGCAACAAAGGGATCAAAATATTGTCCAAGCCATGAGTTTGATTGATACTATGAAATCTCAATTGCAAGACTTTAGGGAAGAGGGATGGCAAATAATTTTAGATGAAGTCAACAATTTTTGTGAGTTGAATATGATTCCCGTGATTGATATGGAAGACAGTATAGCAATCCGTGGCAATGCCAGGCGCAGTCGCAGAGGTCAAACCATCACTAATTTTCATCATTATCGCGTGGAAATTTTTTGTGAGGTATTATTTTTGAAATTATTATTTCATTACATTTGTTACTTGTTAGCAGATTTTCTTAGTTATTAATTTTATTATTGTTGTGATGTCAGGTTGTTGATTTAATTATACAAGAGATGAATAATCGTTTCTCGGAAGTTAGCACGGAATTGCTTAGTTGCATAGCATGTCTTGATCCAAAAAGTTCTTTCTCTCAATTCAATGTGCAGAAACTACTCCGTCTTGCTGATTTATATCCTGAAGACTTCTCAAGTAACGATTATTTATATCTTGAGTCTCAACTTCGAAATTATATTTATAATGTGCAACGCGATCCTCAATTTTCAGAAGTTGGAGATTTGGGAAGTCTTGCTCAACAAATGGTTAAAACTGGTAAAAATACAGTTTTTCCATTTGTTTATCGTCTGATCCAGTTGGCATTAGTTCTACCAGTTGCGACTGCTTCTGTTGAAAGAGTATTTTCTGCAATGAATATTGTCAAGACTGATTTGCGCAACAAAATGGGAGACGAGTGGATGAATGACTGTCTGGTTGTATACATCGAGAAGGATATTTTTGCAACAATTGAAAATGAGCAAATATTGCAACGTTTTCAACGGATGAAGACTCGCAGAATGCAATTGCCTCCTCTTCGTTATTCGAGTGCAACAACTACCAATACTTCAAGTGTTAATCAATAACAAATTTTTGGGTATGTATAATTATATGTTTTTATTATTTTTATAATTATTGATTCTAGATTTTACTTATTAAATATATTTATTTCGTCACAAAAAAAAAATTTTTAATACACTTCAGCCCCCCCAAAAATAAATTTCTGGCTCCGTCCCTGCCTCCAAAAGCAAACTGATGTTGTGCTACATCCGTCTTGTTGAATGCATTACTAGTACTGCATACTGTGAAGTGGATTCTGTTATCGGCCTTCAACAATCGTTACAGTGACATTGTTAATAGAACCAACCCTTTGCGAAGAAGAATCACTTTCTGAAGATCCTAATCTTCTTGTATAAGCCGGTAATTTGGGAAGAGGGAGATTTGAAATTTCACTGTTAAGCATGGATAGAACAGCAGAGATATCTGGCCTATCTTTTGCAAATTCTTGCACGCACAATAGCCCTGCATGGACGTATCTCAAGACCTCTTTTTCGATACCCGGGACAAACATAGCTGCATCTATCAGTTTAACTGCTTCTTTTTCATTCCACAATTTCCAGGCCTGAGGAAGCAAAATGAAACTGTGAATTTAATTTGCTTTATGCAAGAATGAGATAAGGAACTTTGCCCTTATGATACTCTTCATAGTCGAAGATATTATCTTACATATCCAAGTAGACTCAGCTCATTCTCGTGATAATAGAAGTTACTATTTCTCCTTCCTGTCACAATCTCTAATAGCAGCACCCCAAAGCTGTAGACATCTGACTTTTCTGAAAACATGCCTTCCATTGCATATTCCGGGGCAATGTAGCCACTTACGTTCATCACCATATATATAGGCAAAAAGAGTAAAAAGTAGTTTGAGTTATGAGGACTACAAGGGGAAGAAAAACAGTTTAGATTTATTATGAACTGATTGAATTAAACAAGAGAGCGAACTGTACTCACTATGTACCCACAACCCTCCTTGTATTGGCTTGATCTTCATTGCCTCTGAAAATTCTTGCCAAGCCAAAATCTGATATCTTGGGTCTCAGCTCTTTATCTAATAGAATATTGCTTGCCTTTAGATCTCTGTGAATGATTTTTAATCTTGAATCTCTGTGAAGGTAAAGGAGGCCTCTGCCAATCCCATCAACGACGGTGACGCGTTTTTTCCAATCGAGTACACTTGGCTTATCAGAATCTGAAAGAGCAATAATGACGTAGATCAATATGACTCAGTATAAGGTATTACGGAAAATTTCCTGTGCCATATAGTGCTGCTAGTCGAAAAACCTGGTTTTTTGGAACTGAAGAAAAAAAAAAAAAAAGTGCTGCGATGTTCATCAACAAACCAAATAGATGGAAGTCCAGGCTTTTGTTTGGCATGTATTCATAGACTAGCATTTTCTCTTCTCTTTCAGCACAGCAGCCAATGAGTCTAACAAGGTTCCGGTGCTGGAGTTTAGAAATGACCACAACTTCATTCATAAACTCCTCAATGCCTTGGCCTGAAGTGTTGGAAAGCCTTTTCACTGCAATTTCCTGGCCATCTAACAGCTTTCCCTGCAGATGCAATGATAATTAAGTTCCAATCCTAGCAAACAACTCATGTAGTTCTTGAAGCAGCGTGGAATACCATGAGGAGCTTACATTACCTTGTAGACTTGACCAAAACCACCTTTGCCCAGCTCATTGCATTGTTCAAAGTTATCTGTTGCTTTAGCTAGTGTTTCATAAGTATACAGAGGTAGCTCTCCTAACTTGGCTCCGTCCCCAGTTTTGCTGACCATGTTTTCCACATTATACGCAGGTTCAAACGAAGACACCTGATCATCTTGGTCTTTACCTGTTTATGAGCAGGTGGTAGGTGAATGCATGAATATAAATCACAACACACGAGAAATTAATTAAGCACAGTTTGAGCATATTAAAGTAAGTAATCTCACCTTTGTGCTTAGTCCACCATTTCCAACAAAAATATAGAGAGACGGCAATAAATAAAGATGCTCCAATTACTGAGGTTGCAATGACTGCTTTCATGTCCCTTTTCTTGCCTATAAATGTCAAAGTTTCAAAGCATCTTCAGAAAGCTACTATCGAGAAAGAACTAGCCAAATGCAATTCTATGTCATTTTGACTTTCTTGTAGAATCTATAGAAAAAATGTAAAAAGAAGTGAAGGGGATTTGATATCTTCGTTACATTCCAAAATATAGCCTTGATCGAATTCAAATCCTATTTGAATGCGGAAGCAGAAAGTAAAATGCTACATTAAGAGTACAGAGTTACTAAAACATTGTAATAAGAAGTGTCTTACCAAGTTCAGAATAAGGCACACGTATGTATAAATCTGCCCCGTCAGAAGAGGCAAACTGCTGTATATCAATTAAGCTTCCCTTCCAGTGCATACAGCCAATGCCCGGATAAGAGGCATAAGCTAAACAGGAGCAATTATTTGAGCACTGAGTACCACATTCGTCTTCTGAAGTTGCTACCCATTCAGCCAAATCTGGAACTTTAGTGTTTGGGAGCTTCAAGAATCCATCTTGTTTGCCCTCAGAACGAACAGAATTATTTCTCTCACATTGCAGCATTTCCCTTCTTGTGCAACCACTAGTCCAGTTTCCTCCTTCCCATTCCACCTTATCTCTAGGCTCAAAACCTTGCAAACATGTACAAATAGGTGAACCATGGGGTTTGCAGCTTCCAAAAGGTCCACATATGCCATAGACATCACATTGACTTCCTTGGCTTGACCATGTAACCTCCCAATCCCCTTTTCTATCTGATAAAACTTTCTGCAGTATAGACCCTGAGGAACTCAATTCAAAGTACAACAAACCACTATCATTTGAATACGTGAAGGTAGCAGACACCAATCCTGTATCATCCGTTACCAGGTTAAAACCATTTAGATAAACTGGATCCATGTCAGGAACTCCAATAAAGGCACTGCTGTTCCATGGACCACTGCGCCAATAAGGTTTATTGTCGTTCCAAATGAAGAGTTGTGGAGTTTGCTGGGGTTCAATACCTAGGGAGAAACTTCCGATAGATGGATCAGAAGGATTTCTCCAAGAGGTCAATCGGATTTTCTGGCCTTTCGTACTTGAACTTAATCTCATCCGCCGGAGATATGAGTCTGTCGGAATCTGAAAACTTTCCCACAGAGTTCTTCCACTGGGATTGTCTGTCAAAACCAAGTTTCCAGTATCCAAGAGTTGTGCAGTAGAATTTGCCACAGAATTTGAAACGTTAGATGACCATAGTATCTCCTTCTGCCCATTCAAGACCACAAGATTGCCGTCTCCTGAGATTGTCAGAGTTCCTGATGAATCATTTAATGGTCTGTCTCTATTAGCCACCCATACTACTGCAACTGCAGGAACATTGAACATGATTCCAACATATCGACCACTACTATTTGCAGGACTGAAAAATCCTAATTTGAAAGTCTGGTTTGAAGAAACTATAGTTTCGGAGTCCTGCAGAGGCTGAGTGATTGTTATATAATCCACCGCTGTACAAGCTTCTAAACAGAAGCAAGCAAGTAGTAGAAAAAGGGATCCCCTCATTGGTGATTGAGAAGTTATCATTGATGATGAACAATCTTACAATCTAACTCCATTTCATTCCCTCCACAAATTTTTTATATCTGGGAATCTAATACGGCAATACAAGATATTTGCATTCTTCCTAGATATTTAGACCAAGTCATGCCATAAGAAAATTAAACCCATCGTGGCTCTTGTCATATTCATGAAGCCATCGTGAAATGAAATCATGTGTTTGATTATGATAAACTAAAGTGCAAATTACATTTTATCCCCTGTAGTTTAGCATTTTTTACATAATTCCCCTATAGTTTCAAAAGCTATACATAACTCTCTCATGGTTTGGATTAAAGTGTCAAAATAACGGAAATAGTCATTTGTAACGAAACTTCTAAAAATGTCGAAATTATCCTTGTAAATACATGACACACTAACCCCTTTATGGTTTAATACCTTACCATATAAACCCCTTATGGTTTTCAAAATATACACACAACCTCCCTTGGTTAATAAATAATTTTCAACTTTACATAAGGATATTTTTGACAATTTAGGTGACTCATTTACGAATGATCATTTCCATCATTTTGACACTTTAATCTCAACTATGAGCGGGTTATATATAACTTTTGAAACCATAGGGGGTGATGTAAAAAATGCTAAATCACAGGGAGTAAAGTGGAATTTGCCCTAAACTAGACTTTTTTAGAGTCAGCTTAATAATATATTGTCCCAGTTGACTGCACCATTACTCTGAATCAAGCCCACCATGCGGCTTAAACTTGAGAGTCAATTACCAATTGCCCGCCGTCATTATTGAAGCTTACAAGTCAACTCAATAAACTATTGAAACTTGCTGTTGGCTCTATAAAGCTTAACCATCTGAATCAGTATCACCAATAAAAGCATTAGAAACTGTAACAGCGGATAGAAATGTTTGGTATAATTAATTTTACGGAAAGATAAAACATTCTTCTACTGTTTCAAAGTAGCATGTTTGACCTGAAACCTGGCTGAAATTAAGCCCAGGAGCTTGCGCATCAGCATTTTCATTTCTTTTTTTTTTTTTTGGAATAAACAGAATCGAACCTAAGACAAATCAAACACATTAACTACCGGATGTTCCAGAAGATTTGACTACTATTTTTTTACTTTTAATCCAAAAGTCTGAACGTTTCAATGTTTTCATTCAGCTTGTTAATAGAAATCCACATAGAAAATTCATGCCTGACGCGGCTTCTCAAACTGATAGTTAGTTACTCTGAACTACAAAGCATCCCATTCTTCCTTCTTTTCTTTTTTTTTTTTAAATTAATCCATCCTCTGCAGTGTGGTGGTTTACTTTTGTCTCATCAGGTAACCAAATTACCGTCAGAGGTTGTGTCCACGCACTAAAAGCTGTGGTATATGATCATGTTAGCATACTAAATCAAGAATCAAAAATAGAAATTTTTATATTATTATTTAACAGTGTCAAGTTACGGTCTTAGTAATTTTATTTGAATTCAGTTATGATATTATTGTTATTGTGATTTGTCAAGAAGATTAAAATTTAATGACATTAATTATTATGGTGTATGGTTAATGTATTATCATTAGTATTATTCCTCTTCCCTCATATATATTGTGTAAATTGCCTCCTCATCTACATTAGTTTTTTGTAAAATTTATCTCCTATAGTTTTTGGGTGAAATCTTTTTGAGTTCTACAGATCATTTGCTGCAAAAATAACAATAGTTAAATGAACAAACCATTTCTTTACGACTCGATGTAAAAATGATTATCAATAATCTATGATTCCAAAAACATGCTCAGGTCTGTAGTGGTGATTAGAGTTGAACTCATTATAACTTTTATTAGCCAAAAAAGGGCAAATGTAGGAGGCTTGGGAAAAGAAATCCCTTTTGCCTATAATATCATGTATGCTCTGATTTATGGTGGTGATCAGAGTTGGAACTCATTCAAACTTTTATTTTAAAAAAAAATGTTGAAGGCTTGGGAAAAGAAAGCCCTTTTGCCTATAGTGTCCAGTAGACTATCTGATGGAACCCAATGGTGACAACTAAGTTGCAATTTTAATTCTTTCAACTCGGTGTCTTTGTCATGGGCAAATTACACTTTATGCCCCTGCAGTTTAGTATTTGTTTACATAATTCTTCTATGGTTTCAAAAGATATACATAATCTTCTCATCATTTAGATTAAGATATCAGAGTAATGAAAATTGCAATTCATAACGGAGTTAACTAAATGTCAAAAATACATTTATGTAAAGTTGAAATTTATTTATTAACCACGGGGGGTTATATATATTTATTGAAAATTATAAGGGAGATATATAGTATAGCACTAAATCATAAGGAAGTTATATGGTAAAACACTAAATCTAAAAGAGTTATATGGTAAAATAGAAAATCATATAAGATTTGAGCGTCATGCATATTATATTTATATATTTTAATTACTTCAGTCATTTAGTTTTTAAATAAATGTAATTTCGATATTCTCATAGGTTCCATAACAGATGATTGTTTCCGTCAGTTTGACACTTTAATCCAAATTATGAGAGGATTATATATAATTTTTAAAACTATATGGGGTTATGTAAAAATTAGTTATACCACAGGAGATAAAGTGTAATTTGCTCCTTTGTCATTGAACATCCACTTTTAAATCCCAGTATAAAAAAGAGATTGATCTCGAAGATTGAGGAATGAACGAATGTTTTATATCTTTCTCTTCTTCTTTTTCATTAACTTTAGTATACCACTTAAAATTAAGTATTCCAATGATCGCGTTGCAATTGTACTATGTAACTACTCCATCTAACTTTGTGATGTAAACCAATGAGCAGATTCGGACCAGTTAGCAAACCAATGAGCCGATTATCAGCTGGGTTGGATATCTAGAAAAAAAAAACAAAAAAAATTCCAATTGATTACATATCAATAATAAATGTGATTAGAATTAAAACTGCCAATATAAAAATATATTCACTAACCCTTGCTCTTATCTCAAATCATTATATGTAAAAATTATCTTCAATTATTGTGGTGACCCTTTTTTATTTAATGATAACTGAAGTTAACTACGTATATCATATATATTGGTTTAGAAGAAAATACCAGTTAATGACTAGACAAAAGATCATAGATAGCTAATAACAAGACAAAATGTTAATTTATTTTTTGTTGGTTTTATGCACTGGCTAGACACATCATAGAAAATTTCTCTAACCTTCCATCTTTGAGTTTCTGTAATCTCCGAGTTTTTGTAATTATACAATGCATAGTAAATGTTTAATTTCTTTTTTATGTAATCAACATTTTGTGCGGCTCACAATTGATTAATTTTGTTCATCATAATTTCTTAGCCAATGTTATGCCCACAATCAAAACTTCACAAAATTTACTGAAGTCCAAAAAGTTCAACATTCTAGCCATTAGGATCCTAGACAATGAAGACTTTATTAATCCAAAACATGTTTCACCGCTAGAAATTATGACTCGTCAATAATAGTCAAAAAAGCGTCTAAACAGTCACAAAATCTTTTTGTAACCACATTGTGACATGTATATGAAAGTCACGGATTTAATAGTCACAAAATTTTTTATGACTTGTATAAGAAAGTCACATTATCAATTGTGACTTGTAAGAATACCTTTATGACTTGTATTTTGAATGTAATAAAAAGTCAAAAAAACTAGGATTTCTTTGTGACATGCAAATAATAGTCACAAAAGATCTTTTGTCTATTGGGACCCACTAGTTAAATTAGACCCCAGTAGCCTTGTGACTAGCGGACTTGCGAGTCACAAAAACATCTTCTTTTTTCTTTTTTCTCTTTTCTTTCTATTTTTATTTCTTTTCTTTTTTTTTTGGAAGGCCAAAATTTAAAAGAAATCCATTCGCAAGCCTCTTTAGTTGATGCCCATCAAGAAATAAGAAAAAGACATAAATTCATTTATAGCAAATTAACTAGCTACTCCTTCGAGTATTAATGAATGAAACCTTCCATTAGTTAACATACTAATCGAGTCTCGCAGTACACACTAATATTCATCAAAATTACAATACCACAAATACAAATAGGTAGCACCAACTCAACTTCATAGAGAATGGCTCGAGTGATAAGAAAACGTTCTAAGAGCCAAGAAATGATATCCTAACCTGCAAAATGAAACACATTTAGAAAAGGAATTACATCCCGAACATGAACTTTCCATAACAAAAACCAATGATCCCTAAAGTGAGTAATCAGTTTGACCATAGCACCAAGATGATCTTCAATTTACAACATGGTCAATCAGTTTAAGCTTACGATCTTAGTGCTACTAGTATTTTTCAGACTCCATTTATGTGTATCAAAGGAAAATAGGACGTTGATAAATAGACAATCAAATTTAAAAGTGGTTACTTGTTTAATGTTATTTTACCAGTCTTCTGTACATCAACGAATTGAAATACCCACAAGCCAGTAACACTTTAGATTCTTTCAAACAAAGCAAATAAGTAAAGGTGAACTCTCAAGTAATTAGCATTATTGGATTCCATATTCAAGCTTAGTGGTTCTAAGTGATACATGGTCAAAAGTCATGCAAGAAAATTCGTATATAGATAAAGAAATATGAACATAAAAATTTCCTAAAATTGAGTTATCTGTCGACTAGGAAAAGTACTAAAAATCCAATCTAGAACCATGGGTAAGGCATAGACATCCAAATACGTCATCCAGAAACTAATGGTTTTCTGCAAATAATCCAAATTGTGCGTTGAAATCTGCTCTTATCTCTGAGAAAATAATTTGAGATGCATAAAGTCAGCCTAAGAAACGGAGACTAGAAGAAAGTATTCAAAGCAGAGACTATTGCTAAAACTGTCCATGATAGCAAGTAAACAGTTATTTATATACTTTATACCCAGTAAGCTGTCAAATATATGGTCAGACTGAGATGCATAAACATACCAAGCAGTTGATTATATGCTGATACCTCCAAAGCAAACTGATGTTGTGCTACATCCGTCTTGGTGAATGCATTACTAGTACTGCATACTGTGAAGTGGATTCTGTTATCGGCCTTCAACAATCGTTACAGTGACATTGTTAATAGAATCAACCCTTTGCGAAGAAGAATCACTTTCTGAAGATCCTAATCTTCTTGTATAAGCCGGTAATTTGGGA